TGTGTACCAGATGAGTGCCTTCCTTGAGAAGCTAGCTGCGGAGTAAGCCACGGCCTAGGAGCGCCCAATGGACTGCTCAATTTCAGAGTATATGCGGGGTGCTGAGGACCGGGAGGAAACGCAGTGGAAGGAGGTAGGACGTAGCCCTCAGGGTACCAATGAGCACACATAGCTGTAGGGGATGCAACGTTTTATAATTATGAAAAAAATAACCATTATATTGTTTTTCACTTAGGTCAAAGCAGAGGAAAGAATCATAGTGGGAAATGTGGCCTTGTCCAAGCAGGGCGGACAAAAGGATAATGTCAATTAATCAAGATCTTTGCGCGCTGTGATTGGAGGTAGTGAGACACTGAAACAGTTCGGTTAGAAAAGCGAACATATGATTCTACGATGCCGCTCGGGGAAAAGGCATTGTTCTGGAATTGGTACGACGTAGATTAGCATCGAGTCATATGCATGTTGCTGTATCGACCCTGTACTGAGTACTTGCCTATTGATCTCCACAAAGGACAAAGGAAGGATAATTGATCGCAAATTCGGGAAGCAGTTTCGGCAATGGGATGAGCGCCTAATCTCCCTCATGCTCCGTTCATGAGATACATTTCGCGGACTCGACAAATTCCGTTTGTTGAACGATATCTTCCTCAAAAAACTGAAAATGCCTATAAAAGATGGGATCTAGAGATAGTCAAGGTGCGCGATTAGCTATAAAAATGATATTTTGTTAAATAATACTTTTTGGCAGTTGTCTCATTTTCCTTCCTCCTTGCTCGGCTCTAGGAATCCACGGGCTAGAAAAGACCAGCTTTCCTCTCATTGGCCAAAGCTCTCGGGACGTCTGTTACATCTGCAGGCTAAACCACATTCACTTTCTGTCTCGACAAATGCCAATCCGCGGAACAAATACCACAAGAAAAAAGATCCACTTAAAAGAGACGACAACCAGACCAATCCTCATCCCGAGTCCTTCCCGGAAGTCGTCGGAAACCTATTACAAGATGCCCAGGAGGTGGACTTGGGCTATTCAGACTGTTTGCGCTGCTGACGGACTGTCTAGGTCAATAACCTTCCTTCGAGTGTGATACGAGACCGATATAAAACCCTGTCTCGTGTTCAAGCGCTCATATCAGACAAATACTCCAGCAATTATCGCGTCCGCCTTTTCGGTAGCACGCAATATCGTGTCTCTTCGCCAAGTAGTGATCTTGATATGGTCGTTTTGGTACGTCCCTCAATGGTTGTCAGACCTCTCATTTTGTTTAATTTTGAGGTGTAGGATCATCAAAACCCACAGGGGCTGGTGAAAAAGCAGAGATCCTCCTGTGTGTTGCAAATCTCTTCATTTATTTCTTCATGGCTAACATCGTGCTCAGATATTTATAATATCAAGTATGCAGTATCCTTCGTTGTGTCTTTCCTTGTTTCTCATTATACTTCAGCGTTCTGGGCGGTCACCTTCGACGGGCGGGATTTGAAAACGTACGTGTCATACATGCCAAAGTCCCAATAGGTCAGAATTTCGTATGCGCTCAACATGAACATACTGACTATATGTTCCTCCAGTCAAATTCAAGGATCCCGAGACCGGTCTTGAGGCTGATATTAATATCAACGACAGGCTGGGTTTGTTCAACTCAGACTTGATCAAACAGTATTGCGATATATACCCTCTCTTGCGACCGATGCTAGCGTTCATCAAATCCTGGGCCAAGCCTCTTGGTCACAACAAACCTAGCACAATTGATGGGTCACCGACTTTCAGTAGTTATGCGCTGGCGTTAATGACAATCGCTACCCTTCAGGTATGGATTTTTATGCTTCCATGGCTCGATACGCCAATAACTTGCATCAGAATATGGGATTACTGCCAAACTTGCAGGATATCCATCCGAATCAAAAGTACGATCAGTTAGTTTGGAACAAGAACGGATTTCATGACGTTCAATTCCTCCGTCGGCGTGATTGGAAACCTCCTTTCGATCTCTCCTTGCAGGAGGCGCTTTATGCCTGGTTCAGGTTTGCCGTTCGCTACTACCGACCGACACTAGGTTAACCTCTTTCTTAGATATTGGGGCACAGAATACCAATATCCAGGTCGACAGATCGTTGATATCAAAATAGGATTTATTCTTCCGCCATTACCCTCGGAGGACCACACGAAGGAATGGAAAGTCAGACTAATAGATCCCTTCATTCGAAGCCGAGTACGTCTTGGGAATGATTCTACGACTAGTCTGTCTAACATCACTACAAGGTCATCACGAAAGGAATTACATCTGCCGCAGTACACAGGTTTTCCGAAGACTGCCAGGCTATCATGTATCATCTATTGCCTCCTGATCTCGCGGCCAGTACGGTGGATGCCAAGATTGCAGATCTGAGAGATAGCGTCCGAAGTTCTACGCGAACACAAAGTATTATTAGTCACCACACCAAGGTTATAGAGTCCAGGCGCGATCTCGGTCAAAACTATCATGATATTATCACAGTGGAAGAAGAGGTCATTGGATTTGGTCTGCGCAAGAAAGTTGCTACTAGCGATGACGTCCCAAAGAAAGTCGAAGAGGAGGATGAGGATAAGGTTTTAGCAGAGATTTTAGCCGAGAGACCTGGCAGAAGCTGGGTACGATATCGTAATTACAAGTATTAATGTTCTGTTTGAAGAGTATGTTAATTCACAGATAATCAACTCCGAGATTGAGCGCCTAAACGACTAAGCAAGAAAATTTTTACAGTTGATCTTATCATCTTCACTTCTCGTCCACCATGTCACTGGCTCCAACTCCAAAAACAATTGGAATTCTCGGAGGAGGTCAACTAGGGCGTATGCTCGCTCAGTCTGCCTCTTTGCTTAACATCCCAGTTGTTATCCTCGACTCGGACGGGCCTACAACTCTTGGTCCGGCGAAACAAATCCTCAATACCTCAGGCCACATCGATGGTAGTTTCCGCGACGCAGAAAAGATATCTGAACTGGCGAAGAAAGTGGATGTGATTACGGTTGAGATTGAACATGTCGATGTTGGTGCTTTAGAAGCTGCTATGGCGAAAGGAAAAGGAAAAGTAGAGGTCCATCCGTCCCCGGAAACAATCCGCCTGATTCAGGACAAGTATCTCCAAAAAATGCATTTGAAGAGTGTTGGATGTCCCGTAGGGGATTTCCGCAAGAGTAGGCGAAAACGAAGGCGTTCTAGATCTCGTCGGCGAAATCCAACAAGCAGTAAAAGACTTTGGATTACCACTCATGCTGAAAAGTCGAAAGATGGCGTTATGACGGGAGGGGAAATTATCTTTTGAAGAGTGATTCCTCTGTTGAAGCTGCTATCGAGGCTCTCGGGGGAGGGAATCTACAAGGAGGAGGCTTATACGCAGAGAAATATGTCCCATTCCGAGCCGAAATCGCTGTCATTGTCGTTCGTTCACTCACTGGACAGGTGGTGTCATATCCTGCCGTGGAAACGGTACATAAAGACAATATCTGCCATCTCGTTTGGGCTCCGTATAGGATTTCCTCAATTGAGCAGGATCCAAAGGTAGCGGAGAGAGCAGAAAGAGTGGCGAGAGAGGCAATTGAAAAGGGCTTTGGGACTGGTGTAGGCGTGTTTGGCGTGGAGATGTTTTTATTGGACGATGGTCAGTGCAACTGCCTTGATTTAAAATACAACCAATGTTTAGATGGCTGCAGATTCCATTCTAATAAACGAAATCGCCCCTCGGCCACACAATTCCGGTCATTACACCATTGAAGCATGCGAGTCTTCCCAATACGACAACCATCTTCGTGCCATTCTCGGTTTGCCACTGGGTAGTACGGCTATGAGAGTTCCTTCTGCGGGGATGCTCAACATACTCGGAGATTCACCTCCGAACCTTGTCACTCTTGCTCTAGCTATTCCAGGAGCTACTCCTCATCTATACGGTAAATCACCTGCCCGTCCAGGTCGTAAAATGGGCCATATTACTATCGTTGGTGAGAGTGATGCTCAAGTCAGGGAACGAATGGCTCCGCTCCTCTCTTCCGACCCGCTTCCAGCTCCTCCGCACCTCCTAGGCCACTCCCACCCCCATCCATTAATCTCTATAATCATGGGCTCTGATTCCGACCTTCCCATCCTCCTTCCTGCCGCTCGTACCCTCCAAACTTACTTTCCCAGTATACCCTTCGAAGTCACATTGGTATCAGCCCATCGTAAGTCCAAGGCCTTTGCTTACCTTCCTTGATGGTTGACTGATTGGCCCTTATTTTGCGCAGGTACACCTCTTCGTCTGGTCAAGTTTGCACAAACAGCAAAATCCCGAGGCATAAGGTGTATTATAGCTGGAGCGGGAGGAGCAGCGCACTTGCCAGGGATGACAGCGAGTCTAACGAGCGTCCCTGTTGTGGGTGTGCCTGTGGATTCGAAAAGTGTGGCGGGAGGAGGAGGAGGTTTAGCGGGGGTTGATGCGATGTACTCGATTTTGCAGATGCCGGTGGGTGGACTCGTGCTTGTGTTTTGTTGACGAAGGACTGACCTAATCTTCTTACGCCCTCGCTTCCTTTCCTTTGTTATTCACTCCACTCACAGCGCGGAATCCCAGTAGCGACCGTCGCCATCAACAATTCTACCAATGCCGCTCTCTTAGCAATACGGATATTATCTGGTGGCATACCGAGGTTACAGGGGGAGATGGAAGCGTATTTGGAGCGGCTGGGGGAGGAGGTGGAGGGTAAGGTGCGCAGGATGGGAGAGGGAAGTTATGACGGAGACGGGAAGTTGGAGAAGGGGGTGGGAGGATGGGAAGGGTATGGGAAGTAGCTATAGATGAGTGTGATACGGAAGGTGAATGTCGTTCCTGGACACAGAGTAGAAAGATTGGATTGAAGTATTTTTTTTTGCTTGTACTCGAGTATAACATAGTGCCAAAGAAATCAAGTATGATAAGAGACAGGTAATGAATTGATGCAACTAGAAAACAGAAACCAGAAAAAAAAACACAACGTCCACTGAATGCACATACGACGCCAGCAGGATTTGAACCTGCGCCCTCAAAGAGGAACAGATCGCAAATCATTGCTGATAATTCTAATCTGTCGCCGTAACCACTTGGCTATAGCGCCTTACATTAAAACTATCAAGAATACAATGCATTCTACTGTAATCTAGCAGCCGCGACCGTAAATGGAAATAAGCGCCGCCAGTAAATTCTCCTTCTCTTCATCTCAACACCATGGTGGCCAAAGAATCAACTGCTTCCGGACGACCAACAAAAAAAGCCCGCATCGCCGAAATCTGTAGTCGACGAATCTACAGCCAAGTTTCGCGTCAAAGGTTCTCCTCGGACCTACGCCAAAAATTTTCCACCTCCTCCAAAGGAAAACAAAAGGCCCAAAATCCTGCCGACGACAAATCTTCACCTCTCCCTACCATCGAAATTCAAAGTTATAGCAGGATCATACGAGAAATTGCTTTATGGGCTTGAAGGATCTACGTCCAACGAAGATGATGCCATTAAATTCAATCTAAAACCAGTTTTCATTTTTCCTGCACACGTCTCGTCTATAAAGTCCGTCGCTGCTCTCCTGGCGGTGGAAAATGGCTGGCGACAGGTAGCACGGATGAGATTGTCAAGGTGTGGGATCTGAGGAGGAAGAAGGAGATCGGTGGACTAATGCACCATAATGGTTCGTACTGTGTTCTGCGTAACGATCCTGTGTTGCTAAATCTACAATTCGCAATTTCAGGCTCAATAACTAGCCTTCTATTCCCTTCCCGCTCACACCTTGTATCCTCCTCTGAAGACGGCACAATAGGGATATTTCACGCCCGAGATTGGTCTGTGCTCCGTACCCTCCGTGGACACAAGGCCCGTGTAAATTGTGTCGACGTTCATTCGTCTGGCAAGGTCGCGCTAAGTGTAGGCAAGGATCGAATGCTGAGGATGTGGGATATGATGCGAGGACGAGGAGTAGCAAGTCTCAAGTTGGGCAAAGGTCAGTTCGTCTGACTGAATGAGCAGGAGCCCAATCTAACGACGGTTATGTTTTCTTTTGCTTACAGAAGGTGAAATCGTCCGTTGGTCGACCGATGGAAAGATATTCGCGGTCCAAAGTGGAAAGGAAATTGATATCTATGGGACTGTATGTTCGTTCACTCGGCTTTCCCTACTTTCCCTACTAATCTTCATCATTATAGGACATGTCTCTCCTTCACAGCATCGCTCATCCTTCGCGGTTACATGATATCAAGTTCTATAAACGCGCTACGGGAAAAGAAGTTCTCCTCGCTGCAGCGGAAGACAAGAAGGTTTCAGTATATGATTTCTTACCCTTACCGAAAGAGGATGAGGCTCAGGCTCAAAGCGAAGTAGAAGCGAGCGAGAAGGAGGCTCTGAACGAGGCCATACAACCGAGAGTGGTAGCAGAAATGGTGGGGCATGAAAATCGGTAGGTTTCATCTTTCATGCTCCCCGCTCCCCGCTAATCGTTTCTTCCGTCATTTATAGAATAAAAGCGCTCCAAACGCTACCCATCGCACTACCTTCGCCTCACCGAACGTCCACTACCATCCTATCGACCGTGTCTTCCGATGGAAAAATACATATATACGATTTATACGATTTACCTGAATTCGAGACGGAACCAACACCACAGAAGATCAAAGAGATCCAGCCTGTAGCGATGTACGACACGAAAGGCACGCGGTTGACTTGTGTTACGCTTGCTGAAGGGGATATGCCAACTGCCTCTTCACATACTGCTGAAGAGGAAGAGGATCATGCTGATCATGATGATACTGGTCCAAATCTAGGTGAAAAGAGGAAGCACGACGGTGATGTGGAAAATGAAGAGGAGGAAGGTGAGGACGGAGAATGGGGAGGTGTCGATGAAGAAGTTGAGGAAGAAGAAGAGGAAGAGGAGGAAGAGGGCGAGAGCGAGTAAATGTACGTTCGATAAAAGTAATAGTATCGTCACCTAATCTACAGGCTCCGTCATACTCTTTTCTCGTGAAGGAAACGAGGGACGATAAATTTATGGATTGTATGGAGAGCACTGCAGTTGGCTCAGACTTTTGCTGCGAGCACTGTGCTCACAGCCGAGTCCATTTTTGTGCACCTCGCTCACTGGACGAGTGTTTTCAATCCGAATCAGAACAATGCTTCATTTAAAGCGACGCGTCGCAGCTGTCAGCCTGTCACTTGGTACGTCGTCGAAAACCTAATTTTCAGACTTGGATCTTGTTCATAGAAGCGGTGTTTTCAGCAGAAGGAAATGTAGAATTATTGTTACTCTAAGAATTTTACAGCCCCTTTCGGAAAAAATGCGGATGTGTGCTGTACAAGGTTTGACATTTAGTCTTGGCGATTCGGAGCCTCAAGAATATATGCTTTACGACGCCGCTATCATCTGTGGCAGACTCAATGATGGAGCAAGAGTCGCCACTATTGTGGTTTCCGCCGCACAGCCATGCACGCAAAGGTTAGTTCGAACAGCGTCGAAACTGTCACACAGGAAGCAAGTTACCGTAAGCCCGCCGGATTTACGGTGAAATTACCATAAACAAGCGCTAAGACAGTGAAATTACGTTGCGGCCGGCGTTAGTTTATAGTAAGTTCACGGTAAGCCCGGCGAACTTACGGTAACTTGCTTCCCGTGTCAATGAGCCCTGAAATTGATGTATCGCTTAGCCTGGATCTCGATACCCCAACAGGAAGTGAAAGCTTGATTTTCCAAAATTCTTCACTAGACCGTATTAACCGCATGTCTCAGAACGATTTTGAGACGTGGAGCTATTCAAAAACAGTTCAAAAATTGACCCAAAACATTTTGAGACACGCGGCTAATACGGTCTACTGTCTCTTCCTGGACGAACTTTTTTGCTATATCTAACACAACGCGCCCCTGCCCTGGCTGCTCGCCTAGCTGGCACTGGCATATTCGGGACCGAAATTCCAGGTGCCATGGCCAATACTCCCAATGTATACAAAACCTACTACTCCTGAGTGTACCCAAGGTTACAGACGCCGAAAATGGTGCATCGGTATGCTTGCTATAAGTCCTGCAATACCGTATATTTCAACATTTTCCCTTGATCTACCCTCAGACTGTCATCTGTACTTAATAATTTTCTATTGCCTTTCCGCTGAAGTTTCACGTATACTATCATCCTTTCACAAACAACTCATTGTTCTCACAACACCAGAAACTTCATGATATCGGGGCTTTCTCCAGCAGAGCAGGCCCAGATCAATATTTTACTGGGGGGAGTGGTGAGTCTCGTTAAAGTGGATCTAAATTATGGATACTAGTGTTATTAAACAGGTTGTCAGCAACTACCTTTCGGTTCGTAGAAGTCTCTAATCTTGTATAGATTGAGCTCAAGTGTTGTTATTAGTACCTAACGATGGGTATTGTGCTTTCTTCCAGTAAGTCTTTGAACATACCGATTCTTACATATATGCGCGATACTAAGGCGACCCTTTCACTAGCATGGACCTATTTCTCAAAGTTCCCCGCTGATAGATGGTGGTTCAAAGCCCTAGTTATTCTATGTGTCAGCATGTGCATTGGTGATACCATTGCAACTGGTCGGCGTCGTCGTTATAGTACTAATCTGAGCTTCGAGTCTAATGATGTTTTCGCAGGTATCTGGTCTTATGACTGGGCTGTTGTAAATTATGGGAGTGAGTTTCGAGAACCATTCCATTGGTGACTTACCAACCACGCTTTTCAGATCCCGCCACAATGGCGCTCACCCATTGGGCGCTCCCCGCCGATGCTTTTTTCTTGTGAGATAGCGGCTACATTACAGTATTAACCAATGGTTAACCGCTTACTACTTGCAGGGGATCATGTGGTCTCACTGTGCAGCTCTTTTATGCATGGCGCATTTGGATGATGTCCATGAGACAGAATTGGATATTGCCAGTAGTGATAGGAAGCCTCTCCATATCGGGCTGGTGTACGAGAATCTCGCCTCTCTTCATCTAGCCCTGATTGAATCTTTTCAGGTGTCGTTTGTTGGATGATACACATTCCAGCAACACACAAGTCCACCTCGGATCTCATGCTTGCACTGTAAGTGTAAAGCTTACATTGACTGAACTAGTTTACTAACCGCCAGCTAATTGCCAGACCTGTGATAAGGATCCAGCTGATGGCTATCACTGTATGCATTCCGAAGATCGGTCATTGCAGGGTCGCGACCGGAAGCAATGTTGACATGAGCCCTGTGGTAGGCAGCCCCATCCAAACCGGTTTGCTCAAGGAGGCGGGGAGGAGACCGTACCCAACGAGGGACAGGAACCAGTGATTGGAAGGATTAGCAGACTGGCCAACCAAAGGAGAAAACGTGGGGGATTGCAGAGAGGGAGTGGGTAATGGAATAGGCGAAGGAATGGGAGTGGAAGCGGACGGAGGAGGGGTGGACAATGTCGATGGAACACTGCCAGGAAGGATGACAGGAGGAGTGGAAACTGGCCTGGGGGAGATAGCACTCGGACGAGGCATGGCCACTTGAGAACTTGAGGACCCAACCTGACGTTTGGGCCTTTGCCGAACCCCCAGGCTGCCTTGCTGTCAATGAGCTGCCTTCTCACCCCGCTCCTTCTCCCGCATATCCTGCTCCAAATACTTCTTGACCAACCGTTGCTTCTCCTTGCATTGCTGCTCTGCTTCCAAGCGACACTTCATCTCAGCTGCAACAAGACGAGCATCCGCCTGTTCTTTGAAAAAACGAGCCTTGCTTGCAGCAGTAATCTGCGCCTCCGTGTCCTCAAAAGCTTGCAGCTCTCGAGTCAAATCCAACCCAGGAGGTATGAGCGTGTCTCTGACTCACAGAGGGATGGAAGGGACCTGAGGGGGTGGAGCAGAGCATTGTGTGGGAGGAGGTATACGAATCGTAGGACCACGAATGACTTGTACTTCGCGGGAAGGAAGAAGGGAAGGGACTGGAATAGCGGGTGAGGGAATGTTGGAGGAACTGCTCGCAACTGTCCGAGCTGAATCACCCTGTTTGCGGGGAGAACTATGGGACCCAGGTGCTCGAGGCTCATACAAATAGTCCAAAGGACTAACGGATGATGGGAACGGGAAGGGGAGGTTTGGGAATTCGATGTTTT